CCCCCCCCCCCCCCCCCAACCCCCAGGCAGACGCACACTCCGAACTACACTACACCGAAGCCCACGCAAACCCAAACCCGAACTACACACCATAGCAGACCCAAGCCCCGAACCACACCACGCCACACGGGAAGGGGAGGCGAGGGGGTACCAACCATTCGCCGAGGGGCTGGAGGGGCGAGGGCGGCCGCATCCCCATCATGTGTGTGTATCTGTATAAACATATATATGTATATACAGATATATATATATATATATATATATATTTTTATTTATTTATTTATTTATTGATTTATTCTATTCATTCATTTATTTATGTACCTTTTTATATTTTCATGTTTATATCATATACACTCTATCTATCGATCTACCTATCTATCTGTCTATCTGTCTATCTGTCTATCTATAGAGAGAGAGGGTTTACTATGCTTGACACGTATCAATAACTTAAGGCCACGAGCCTGCTCTGCGATTGCCAGCTCCAAGCGCGTGCCCTTACCACGGAGATTAGTCTTGCCGCGCCAGTAACACACCGTGTCCTTGACGGACTCCAGGCGCAGTTTTGTGCCCGCCCGAACGTTTGATGAATTCAGATTCCTCCTCCCGAAAGAACCAACCATATAGAACGGCTTCTTCCCACACGACGGACACTAACAAAGAACCCGTCGAGCTTCGAAGTGCCTCCAACGCGAACTAGCTCGTCAAACTCTCGCCCCGTTCCGCAGTCGAAAACTGAAATGCCTTGTAAACTCAGTTCGCCGCGAAGACAGGCTTAGAATTTTCCATTTCCTCGCAGAAGGCAGTTCAGCCTAGGAAGGTCTATTACATCACGAGGAGACAACGTTCAGCATCACGCAGAGGCTAAGAGGAAATTGCGCAAAACTAAACCCTAAACCCTAAATCCTAAACCCTAAACCCTGGAGAAAACTAAACCCTAAACCCTAAACCCTACACAGAGCTTTCATCCGACCATCCGCGAGCGCTTGCAAGCGAGACAACCCCACTGTTGCCCCACCAAGGTTCATGAAGTGCTTGTCACCCAGGCTTTTAGGGTTTAGGCCTTTAGGGTTTTAGGGTTTAGGGTGTAGGGTTTAGGATTCAACCCCTAAACCCTAAACCCTAAATCCTAAACCCTAAACCCTAAACCGTCAAGGGTTCCCTTAAGGGTCCCTATATCGGAGTTAGGATTAGGGGGACCCTTGGGCCTCTCAATAAGACCCCTTTGAAGAGAGCCAAAAGTAGGGTTCAGAAGGGGTACCCTTTAAGGGGTACCCCTAATAATACTACCTATTCAAGGGGTTTCTAAAAGCTTGCCAATAGTATTCCTTAGGGTTCCTTCTTGTGGTCATAGTATACTCTACCCCCGACCTCTATCCCCATTCGAATTACTGAAAGCCCACATACTTACCTCCCCTTTCACCCGGATCGTCTGAAGGACGCCTCCCCTGCAGGCTGTGTTAGGCCGGTTTAGGGTTCAGGGTCCAGGGCTTGGGGTCAGCGAAATCAGCTGATACGACTTCCCATACCCCTGGGAGGATCCGAAAAGGAGATCCCTTCAGGGAGTTCCCAAAAAAGTACCCTCCAGTAGCATAGCGTCCCGAATTTGGCAATCTACTTTAGATCCACCCCATAACCTGTGTCTATACAGATTACCTGCTCAATGTCTACAACGCTGCAGCGCGGTGCCTCGTTTCGAAAAGTTGATACCTGGATACCTGTTCCTCGCTGGGATGAAGGTAGGTGGAATTAAGGAATCCCTTTTTAGGGTTTAGGGTTTAGGGTTTAGGGTTTAGAGTTTAGGGTTTAGGGTTTAGGGAATCCCTTTTTTCTGCGGACTCTTGCAGTAGAAGCCAGAAAGACCCTAAACCCTAAACCCTAAACCCAAGTTGGAATCCTCGTGCCCTGAAGGTAAAGTATACTTGGAGGCTCATGGGACTTAGTAAGTACAGATATAAGTTCCTTAATTGGGGGTATAAGTAATTATAAGTATAGTTACCTTAGTCATAACCCTAGTTACTAAGTCCCATGAAGCGCCAAGTAAAGTATAGGGGATCCTGGCATGAATCCTCCTAAACCCATGTTCCAACTTCCATGGGTTCACTCTAGACCCTAAACCCTAAACCCCCAAACCCTGAACCCTAAACCCTAAAACCCTAAACTCCTAAACCCTAAACCCCAAAACTCTTATCTTGGGATTACCCCAGCTTCATCCCACCCCTCGGGCGCTTTGAACCTCTTAACTCGTGCATCGTCGCACCGCGCGAAGCTTCCAAGCCTAAACCCCCCCCCCCTGTTTTGGGGTTAAGGGGTTTAGGGTTTAGGGGTTAGTGTTTAGGATTAAAGTTTAGGATTTAGGGTTTAGGGTTTCGGGTTTAGGGTTTAGGACTTAGGGTTTAGGGTTAGGGTTTAGGGTTAAGGATTTAGGGTTTAGGCTTAGGGTTTAGGGTTTGGGGTTTAGGGTTTAGGGTCAAAGCCCTAGAGACCGCAAAGCCCTGAAACCCGAAAACCCTGATAAGTGCTTACGAACCGCCACTAAGCCCCCTCAAACACCCGTATCAAACCGCCTAGCAGCCCCTAAACCCTAAGTGAAGCCTAAAACCTGGCTAAACATTAAAAGAAACCTAAACCCTAAATGCTGAACCCTAAATCCTAAGCCCCAAGCCCTAAACCCTAGACCCTATAAAGCCTAAACTCTGAACCCTAAACTCCTTAATACAAAAAAGAGGGAGCCAAGGCGCCACTCTGGCATCTTCGGCCGCTTCTTCCCACAGGTCTTCTTGCAGACCTCCCAAAGACTCCAAAACGCAAGAAAGGGTTTAGGGTTTAGGGTTTGGGGTTTAGGGTTTAGGGTTTAAGGTTTGGGGTTTAGGGTTGAGGGTTTTTCGGTTTAGGGCTTCGGAATAGAGATACCTTGAATAATAAAAGGATCCTCATTCTGAGTTTACAACTTGAGCTGCTTCTTAAGGGTTCTAATAGCCAAAGATTAAGAACTTATTTCTTAAGTACCCCGAAGTTAAGGTCGATTCCATAATTCTTAGACTGCCCTTACAGAAACCCTTCTGACGGTTTAGGGCTTAGGGGGTGTAGGGTCCCCCTAAACCCTAAACCCTAAACCCTAAACCCTAAACCCTAAACCCTAAACCCTAAACCCTAAACCCTAAACCCCAAACCCTTAAGTACCACAAAGTCTTGCCGACCTCCACGGCCGGTCTCGAGCTGCGGATTCCTAAAAAAAGAGAGGGATCCTCTCTTTAAGGGCCCGTAGAACAAGGATCCTACTTAGGATTTAGGGTTTAGGGTTTAGGGTTTAGGGTTTAGGGTTTAGGGATTAGGGTTTAGGGTTTAGGGTTGCGGCTCTAGAATATTCAGTATATATGTGTGTGTATATATATATATACATATACATACATACATACATCCCTTTACGGGCTCCTTTAAGGGCTCCTTTTTAAAGGGTGCGTTCAAGG